AGGGCGCGTGGGGCTGAAACACGGTGAGCTCTATTCCCGGAAAGGTGCCTGTCCCGACAGGACAAGCGGGCCCTTTAATGGGCGTCCATGGGCCGGTATAAGGCCCCCACTGTTGGGGCCGCGCCGCGCGCTACAGCACAGACATGCAAATATTTCCAGTGGTAGGCCCAAATGGAAAACACAAACACGCAACATCGAAATTAGCTCCGAGAGAGGGAGGGAGGTGGGAGAGAGGGAGGTGGGAGAGAGGGAGACAGGGAGAGAGGGAGGGAGGGAGGTGGGAGGGAGGAGGGAAGGGAAGGAGGTGGGGCAGTAAAGGTTTAGGATACAACAGAAAGAGAATGAGAAAAATAAGAGGCAAAAAGTTTTGGGCGGTGAACGAGACAGCTGGAACATATTGATTGTTCCCATCTATTTTAGTGGAACTTTAACTCTGTAGCAGATTTAGAGGTTTTAACAGCCAATCCAATAGAGCACACCTACTGGGTAATACCGAGCCCATCGATGCTCATTCCCTTCATCTAATTAAAATCTCCTTCAAGCATTTCCTCCGAGGACGTTTAAAGTCTGGAAATACCCACTTCATTAGACGCTGTTTTAGAACAAGAGGAATGGGCTTCTATTGGCCGAGTAAAAACAGCCATCAGAGGAGAATTAACACAGCGTGACAGTGGCCCGGGTCGACGGGTCCCCGGTCATCATCGCACAGACAGGATTAGAGTCTGGAGGTGATTGTCAGGGAGTTTTTATCCCTGGCTGATGCAACAACACTGCAACTGATGCCACTTCAGCCAACACTATACTTCTGAGACAGAGTGGGGGGGGCTGATGATGAATAGTCAGGTCTCTGTGAATAATGCACATAACTATAGGAGGTCCACATACACACTTTATAACCTTATGTGGGAGAGACCTGGAAGACTTCCAGCTCTAACTTCTACTCTGTTCTTGAACATTATTTGCACTTTAAGTGTTTTTAGTGACTCATCCTCATGCACAGCGAGGTCTGCTACGATCAACTGAGCCTCTCAAATGTCAGTGTGTTATACACAGGTCTTTGTTCACTGCAGCACTTCAACCTCAGCAAATCTATTCACTCTTCACACACTTCAAGAGGTTTCCATGTTTTCTGCTTTAAACTGTGAGTGATGTGAGCTCTTTCTTTCTGTCAGTAAATACAGTGACAGGTTTAATTCCTGTACTAATGATTACAACCTGTTGTTACTGACACCAAGTGGATGATCGGTGTGTTTCAAGGTCACTGAGACAAAGACAATTATCTTTAACCCTTAACCCTCACACACTGTTCATGCCCCCCCCTTCATCTGACACACAGATCTAATATCTGTGGATCTACAATCCACTTCAATAGATACGGCTCAGACATCCACAGCTCCTGTACAAAAGGATAATATTTTAAAATATTTTAAACATTTTGTTGTATTTTGGGTCACTTCAGGAAAAGTCAAACTTCAGGCTAAAAGACATTTAAGATATTTTTACTGCTGTTAAACGGGTCAATGTAAGGGTTAAAATATAAAGTAACTGACTGTCAGTGTCAGGTCAGACACTGCAGTGAACAATACTTGATCTGATCAGGAGCAGACACGACACAGTCACCAACAGTCTGAAGAGGCTTATGCACTTACAGAGTGTCCCAGTAACGCATGAGCCATCTCGTGTCCCAGGACGAAGGTGAGCTGGTGGATGTCGGCCACAGCGTCCAGCATCCCCGTAAACATGAACACTTTCCCGTTCTACGTGAAGGGAAGTAAAATCCAGTTGAAGAGATTCTTTAGACTGATGGTTACAGACCCCCCGCCACCCCCCCCGAACAGTCAGTCATTCTGTAATCGTGTTACTTATGGATGGAAATATAGTGAAAATAAATGATTCCCCTCTTTGCTGGGGGTCTGACACATCACCCACCCACAGTCATATTTACAGTATTTACAGTGAATACTCATGAACTCACCAACAAGCAAACAAGCTGAAAACCCCTCAGTGACCAACAGCTGTTACAAGGATATGTAATAAGAGAAACACTGTTGTCCTGAGACGCCCTCACATGAGATGACGGATGTAACAGTGTGATGCTATGAAAGCTCAAACACAGTCTCTGATTCTTTGTCTCTGTTTCTCGTACTGACCGCGAGGACGAAGGCGTTGACGTTGGGACTTTGCACCACATGGACGCTCCATGTGACATCGGACACTTCAGGGATGTCCTTGTTCCTCTGAGCCAGATGCTGCACCACCCGCTCCACCACCTTGTGCCGGGGGTCAGTGACAGGAACCAGCAGCTCTGCAAACTCCTCCATGTACTGAAACACACACACACACACACACACACACACACACACACACACACACACACAGGTAAGAGTTTTTAAGGAATATTTTCCCTCCTCCATCCATTTAATATCTTGTCTTTCTGCTTGTCATTACTGTTTTCATGACTCCATGAATCGTGTAAAATAATGTGTCAAATGGGTCAACTGTCTCTAATCATGTTGTCTCACACACACACACACACACACACACACACACACACACCCCCTCCCTCTCTCACAGCCTGTGATGTCAGAGCAGCCAGCTCCATGTAGTTCTCTCTGCTGAACACCAGGAGGCGTGTCCGTCCCGTCACCGGGGACTCATCCAGGTGGGTCAGGAGAAGGAGAGCTGCGATCACCATAGCAACACCTGCCCCTGCTGCCAGAGGCCAGCGGCGCTGCCAGGCCCACTGACGCATGAGCTGCCGGCGGTTGTCTGGTAGAGCCACCCACCACTTCCTTATACTCCTGCAACAGGAAGGGAGGCCACAAGGTGTGAGACGTCTGTGCAGCGTGCATGAAATATGCTCACAACAACGTACCAGAGGAAACAGTCAGACGCTACAGGAGACCAGACACAAACAGTCATGAGAGGGGATCGGCAATTTTTCTAAATGAGTTATTTGACCCAAAATAAAACCTAATTAATTAATGAAGCCTCGTGTGTGGAATGATACTATCATAGTCACTCTCCTTTCAGTTCTTATTTAAACCAATTAATTAACAGAACCAAGGCATCAATTTATAAGGTCATTTGTTTTCTCTTATTTGAATGACAATTATTACAATTGTTGATAAAACAATTAGGTGTGTTCATTATTTAAATTATTTAATGAACACAATACTTGAAGTGTAATTGAATAATATTGTGTTTTTTAGCAGTGAATACATTTGCTATAAAATGATTGGTAAGAATTTTCCCGCTTTTCAATTTGCACTTGAAGATGATCACCTGATCAAAGAATTCTGATTAATCATACCTGATCACTTTCTACATGTATGTATGGAGCATGTTACCAACTGGTTTCCAGACTGTGTCAGTGTGTACACTCATCGAGCCTTTCATCAGGAACACCTGTACACCTGCTTATCCATGTAATTCTCCAACACATACAATCATGTGGAAGCAGTGTGCTGCACCTGATTCAGAGTGAACAGCACGTCCTACCTGCACCAGCAGGAGACCACGTCAGGTTCCACTTCCTGTCACCAAGACCAGAAAGACTCCCCGACACTGGACAGCTGAACACCTGGTCTGATGGATTTGTGCTGATGCAGCAGATGGTAGAATACTTTCTTCCTAACACCAACCACTCATGGTCTGAATGTCTCAGTCTACCTGAGTATTGTTGCTGACCCCCCCCCCCCCCCCCCCCCCAGTCCTGAACCCAGTGAACACCTTTGGGGTGTGGTACAACAGGTGCAGCTGCATCATGTCAACATGGAGCAGAGTCTCAGAGGAAAGTTTCACATGTTGTGGACTCTGAGTGTCAGTGTGGTGTTCCTAATAAAGTGCTCAGTGAGTGTGTGTGTGTGTGTGTGTGTGTGTCTCCTACCTGCCCAGTATCATAGCCATGAGCTTCTGCAGAGGCTTCAGCACGATCCATATGAGGGGAGCAGGCAGGGCCCTCAGGGGGGCCGAGGTGTGGAGGCACCGGGTCTGGACCGGACCGGAGCGCAGAGGTGAAGCGGTTTTGGGGCAGATCTGGAGACACGGCTTCGGTCCACGGCCGCAGAACAACAGACGTGGTGCAGAGGGAGCGGCTCTGAGGTGGAGGGAGTTCCCAGCTCTGTGACCGCTGATCTCACAGGACACGGACTGCGTCTTCTTCAGGGTGAAGCCGGCGCGTGCACACACCTGCTCGTGTCGCGTCAGGTGAGAACAGAAGCGGCCGCTCCGGAAAAGACCGACCGACAGGAAAACCATCGTTTCAGCTCCTCGTGAGTCGGTTACCAACAGCAACAAGACTCCGTCATCTGACACAGCTGTCAACGTAGGGCGGGAAGCTGACCTCCTCTCCTGTGGGTCTGTCAGCCATCACTGTTCTCTGGGGTCAATGTCATCGCTTCCCGCGCTGACTCGCCTCGGTCACCGCGGACTGAAGAGCTCGTACCTGTCACAGGTGTTCAGTTTAATAACACGTTCACACGTCGAGATCAACGTTTCACGTCCCCGCGCGGCGACACGTTAGCACTTTAACAACGAACCGAACGGAACTTTGTTTGTTTAGGCACTTTGAGGGTCCCGCTCCAAAATGATTCCCCCCAGGAACGAACCCGCGCCACTAGTTCCGCCCGCACACATTCAAATCTCGCGTTAATTTTGAATCCTCGCGGATTTTTCCTGGGAAAAGTATTTGGATCTACATTTTTATTTACCTTAAAGACGGATTAATAAGAAGAATATAAGGATTCTATATTTACCTGCGATAATGATCGTCATGGTTGCAATTTGCCATAAAAATGAAGAAGAACAAGAAATAGAACTTAACTTTAACTTTATTTCCATTCTTTGCTTAAAAACAAGTTATGGTATTATTCTTTAACACTGTTTAAACGACAGAATCTTAAAACGCTTTAAAAATATGTCGAAAAATAAAATAAACCAAACCACAGAATATAAAAATACAGCTTTGATTTCATGTGAAACACACCAGCAGAACTGAGGAAACTTTCACCATAACACAACC